TCTCTGAACCTCATTTTCCATATCTATAAGATTGAGATAACAATCAATAACATCAATAAAATGGAGATAATTCAGGACAGTTATGAAAATCACGAGATGATGTGTATCCAACCATTCTGTCAACAGCAATGCTTTACTTAAATACAACTGGGTTAACAACAAATGTTGGCGAGGTTGTGGAGAAAAAGGAACTCTCCTGCACTGCTGGTGGGAGTGCAAACTGGTCCAACCACTATGGAGAGCTGTGTGGAGATTTCTGGAACTACTAAACATAGACCTTCTATATGATCCAGCAATTCCACTCCTAGGTATTTACCCAAAGGACACAGAAACATCAATTCCAAAGAGCACCTGCACACCTATGTTTATAGCAGCACTGTTTACAATAGCTAAGCTTTGGAAACAGCCCAAATGCCCAAAAATAGATGACTGGATCAAGAAGATGTGGTACATATATACCATGGAATATTACTCAACATTCAAAAAAGATAAACACATGCAATTTGCAGCAACATGGATGGCACTGGAAGGGATCATGCTCAGCGAAATAAGCCAAAAAGAAAAAGAAAAATACCGGATGGTCTCACTCATAGCAGGAATCTAGAAAACTTAAATAAGGGACCAGGAAAATGAATAACTATAAGAAAGTGAAAATCAAAATCAACAAAAAACTATGAACCAGAGACACTTTTTTGGGGGTGGGGGGCGGGAGGGGAGGGATTGGGGTCAGAATGGGGGGGTTGCAATTGTATGGGGAATATAAAAATAAAATTTATTATAAAAAAATAAATAAATAAATAAATACAACTGGGTTAAGTAATAAGTCATTGATTTATTTTTACTTTTATTTTATATATTTTACATCGTTTTTCATTTTTGCACAATGTATACATTTTCATCTTGGTTATAGTTTTAAACTGGCTCTATCCATCAACCCAACTCCTGTATTTTGCAAAAGAAACATTGACTCCCAATGTCAAATTACTCACTCGCTATCACACAAATGGTTGGTAATATAACTAAACTACACATCACCTGATTCACAAGTCAATGCTGACATGCCACCTTCATGTTGATAGGCAATGAGCTACATTAGATATTGGACTGGTTAGCACTCATTCATTCAACAAGTATTTACTGAATAAATACTATATGCCAGGTACTACTCTAGATATTGGAGACTTTTTGATGAACAACAACCACAACAAAATGTTCCCATCTTCATGGAAGAGCAGTCTAGAAAAGAAATTATTTCATCTACAGCTATAAATATTTACTGAGTATGAACTATGTGGTAAGCACTATGCTAAGATTTGTATTTGAAAAAAATCTGAAATTCCAACAATATCAAGACATTTACCAGGCTTTGCTAAAAAATGACTAATGTGAACAGTTCAATAAAAGTGATTATACAAGGTGGTAAGTTCATTAGAAGATGCTATCAGTAACCAAATTGGCATCTGAAAAAAGTGAATGGAATGGGGAAGATAGCTAGGATTCCAGTCCACTTGAAGCAGCAAGACTGAATGAATTAGAAGTAGAGGTGAGCTTATCCTTCTACAGTCTCCAGACTTCAAGGGTTGGTAATAAAACTAAACTACACATTTCCTGATTCACAGTCCGATGTTGTCATGCTACCTTCATGTTGACAGGCAATGAGCTAGATCGGAAATGCCCAACAGGGAGCAATGAGCAATTTATCCCCTTTCCAGAGACCTCTGTCTGGTGCTAAACTCTCCTTTTGTTGCCTGTCCTTTTGAAAATCCTCTTCCACTCTACCTAATCACTCACATGCAAATGATATGTGATGGGACATCCTGCTAGTCCCTGTGAGAGTGAGCAAGTGATTTTCATCATCTCCCACTGGTACTGTTATAGAGCAACCCCGATATTAAACGGGTTCCTGGCTGTGGGTCCTCACCCGCGCGCTTTAAAGGGACTTATGAATACTCTACTACAGACACACGCAAAAGGGTTAATAAAAGGTTTATTTACAAGAGAAAAAGAAATAAGGAAAATATATAACTCAGGGAGAAAATAGGGAAATAAAGTCTTTAATGCGTCCTACCCGATCCGACGACCTGGAAACCCAAAGACACTCTCAGAGCTGGCGGGACGCTGCGAGCTGGCGGAGAGCCAAAATGGAGAGCCCCCCAAAGCCCACGTGTCTGCCTTTTGTATCCACCTGGCTGCTTAACCCCACCCTCAGGTCCCAGCCACCTTCCCTTTGGTGGTGATGGGATTTGGAGTTCCCAGTGTCTTTGGCTTTGACCTGGGGTGGGGGTGGAGTCCACAAAGCCTGTATGGAATTTGCTTTGGGACATCCTTTTCCCCCTAACAATTCTGCCTCCCAGGCTGCTGAGGCTGAGCCATCAGTTTTCGTGAAACTTTTTTTTGGTCAAAATCTCACCAGAATTATATAATTTGGAAAAGGAATATTTAAAAACTTTTGTTTTTAAGAAAAAAATGTACATTTTGCATACATTATGGAAGAAGCCTGTGTATAACACTGTATGACAGTCCACATGTCCCTGTAATAACTTTGTGATTCCCTGGGATGAAGGGAAAAGGCAAGGAAGATGGATTCCCCAGGGTGTGTACTGGTGACTACATCAGGTTCTTTTTTACAATGTCATTTTGTTCTCACTCTAAACAAATGAAAAGTTCCATGCCCCTATTTCCAGAGAGCAATTTCAATCCCTAGATTTGGAGTTCAGTTCCTAGGAAGGTACAAAATTAATCCAAAAAATCTGTTAACTACTTAAGTGATAATCACCATTTGGGGGCCAGAAGGGATAGAAAAAGATGTGCACAGAGTGAAATGTATTTCTTCAAGCAAAACCAAAATCAGTGTTCTGAAACTTAGCATTTTAACCTCTTCGGCATCAAGCGGGCCAAGCAAACTCTAACTTTACGAACTGTTATTAGACTGGCTATAATTTGTTTCCCAGAGCACCAGACAACAAATACATATCCTATGGGGGAACTATTTATCTATTCTAAGGAACACTTAGTGCCTGGGGGCTGAGGGCTGGGGAAAACAATAGTGTAAATTCCAACCAGGACTAGACAAGGTAGACAGAGGGCTTGAAGAGCAGAAGAGAACTCAAGGGCCCTCTTTGTGCTGCTGGCCCCTCCTACCTACATAGTCAATATGAGCTAAAGGACCTGTACATCCATTTAAAGCAAGCACACAAACCACTCTCTAGATCACAAGACAGTACACGCCAAACGTTTATGTGCAACCCTTATGGCGGCCAGAAAACTGCCTATCCTGCTAATCCTTTTATTATTAAGTTAGCAGCAATGCGGGCCTCCCCGGTGGCGCAGCGGTTGAGCGCTGGATTGCGAAGCTGCCCGCGGCCTCTGCGGTGCCGGTTCGATCCCCGGCTGCTCCCCGGCCACCGGAGGAGGGCCCCACATGGCGCGCAGACCTCTCCTGCCGCCCGCTGCTCCCCTCAGCAGTGTGCTTCAGTCCTTCTGCCTGCTCTGCTCCCTGCTCTGGCTCTGGTGAATTCTCTCACCCTCCCGCACTTCTGACTGTACCCAGTGCATGTATAAACAAACAAATAAAATAAATAAATAAATAAAACATGCCTCTATTAAAAAAAAAAAAAAAAAAAAGTTAGCAGCAATGCTTAGCTCACAATGAAATTCAAGATTCACCAGAAAATTCAATGGGAGTCTACTTTGCTGGGAGAAATACCCTGGGAGAATGGGGCATCACATTCCTGCCTTGAAACTTGTCCTTCTGTCAGTTTACAAATTAGTTGCCACAGTTCCCCTTTTCACAAACTCCCATTAACCAGCCAACTGAAAAGCCAAAACAAACAAGCAAAAAAATAAATAAATAAAGGGGGGGGTGGGAATCTTTCATTCATTCACTTTTGGTTAATGCACCCCAAAGACAGATTCCTGCCACTGGGAGACGCTGCCCCATCTCTCACCCAATGAATAGATAGGATGCCTTTATTTTAAAAACAGCTGTGTCCTGGAGCCTTAAAACTCAGATAAGAAAAAGAAATCACAAAGGTAAATAAGTGTAAAATCAGAAAATAATAGTGCTGAGCCCTGACATGACTTTTCCAGGTGTGCGTACCTAGTGGGTCATATATTCGTGGAAAGTACAAACACACACACACACACACACACACACACACCCTTGCAGCTCACACACGATCTCCTACAAGCAAGCCCAAAGGCATTCAGTTGTTGACAACGATAGGGTTGTCAACAAAGCTGTCTTCACCTAAGGAACTCTGGTCTTCCCCAAGTCGGAAGAGAACGAGAGTCCAACAATAATATTCCAAGAGAGCTTTTTCCTGGATACCTATCCTGCAAGGCCACTTCTCTGCCGACCTTACAGCCCTTTTCCTTCTTCTGAAACACAGCTTTCATACGATTCCTTGGAGGTAGCTCCAGTTACGCGCAGAGTGCGCCCCATCTCTCGACGCTGGAGCCGGGGACTGCCCGGCCTCTCACTCCCTGGAAACTTCGCCACCGCCCCCACGTAAAGTAAAGGGCACGGGTAGGGGGGCGACAAAGATAACACGGGTCCCTGAGGCCAAGGGCACCATTCAAGAGAAAAATGAGTGAACCAGAGATGGGCATGCCTTCTCCACGTGGAGGAAGGGATCAGAGACCTGCAGGTGCCCACTCTGTTCTGGGAGCTCCCATTTCCTGGCGGGGTAAGGAGATAGGCAGGTCAGAGTCCCCCAACAGGATGCTGTCCCGCGCCCCTAGCCTGGGAGCCGCGAGATGCGCGCATAGCTTGCATGCCAGAGCAAGGGGTCGGGGCGCGGATAACGTGCACCTGGCGCCTGCTGGGGACAGTGCCCCCATGCCTGGACAGAGCTCCCTGCCTGAGGGCGAAGGAAGCGAAATCTCGCTTGGCAGAAGGGCCCCGGGCGGGTTTTTCGACCCTGTTTGAGCACGCCCACCCGCAGAGGGCCCCCAGCTGCCCGCGCGCGCCCCGCGCCCGCGCCCCACGTCGCCGGCACCTGGATGTGGCACGAGATCTCCGAGTCGTCCAGCAGCCGGATGGTGCATTTCATCTCCTGGTTGAGTGATTTGATGCTGGAGCTCCGAAAGTGGATCATTTTCATGGTTCTCCTCCCTCTCGGCACACAGTGGCAGGAGGCGAACATGCACCGCGGCCCGGGGGAGCAAGCGGGAGGCTCGGGGCCGGCTCGGAGCTGGCTCGGGCGGCCGCACACACTCGCTCCCGCACCGTCCCGGAGACCCAGGCGCGGCTCAGCCCCGGGACAGCGGCGGCGACCGGCGCCTGTGGCCACACATGCCTGGCGGCCGGGGCGCGGCGGGCGGGTCCCTCCCTCTCTCCCTCCCTCCCTCCCCTCTCCTAGCCTCCGCCTTAACCGCTGCTTTCCCCGCCTCCGCGCGTGGCGCGCGCTCCTGCGCCTCCCTCCGCCCGGCTCGGTTCCGAGGATGCCCGGAGCGCCCGACCCCCAGCCGGGGCGCGGCGCACGCACTCCCGGGCGCGCGGAGCCGCGGAAGGTGAGGCGAGGGCCCGGCTGGCGGTGGTGGCCAAGCGCCCGGGCGGGGGCCTGCGCTGCCTCGGCCGCCGCTGCGTCAGGCTGGGCCCGGCTGCCTCCTCCCTCTCCGGCCGCGATCCCTCCCGGTCCAGATCGCGCGCTCGCCCCTGCCCCGGCTCCCCCACGCGCCCGAAAGCCCTCTATTGCGCTCGGCCCCAGGGACCTGATGCAGGCGGGGTGGGGAGGGGAGGTGGGGAGGGGTGGGTGGGAGGAGGCATGGGGGGCGGAGAGAGATCCTGACCCACACCCCCAAGGAGGAGTCCACCGCGCAGGAGGATGGTTGGGCTAAGGGGAACCCCCGAGAGTAACAAGAGGCCCTGACGCTGCTACACCGGGAATATTGCAACTAGTAACAATCTCTGGTACTTACGGGGATTTTGTAAGTCTTTGTTTTATTTAATATTAAGTGGAAGTCAATCCCATTCTCTAAGAAATTCAGAACCTTTTCTGAGCTTTTTTTTTTTTTTTTTTTTTTTTTTTTGTCTCCCAGCATCTCAGTAGGATCTTTGATTAGCAGTAGCTTAGACCTGAGCTAGAGGGTCCATATTTCCCCTCCCTGGTAGAAACCTTCTACAGCCCAGCCAACCTCCACCTGCTCTCCAGATGTGCCCCGTCTATTTTAGATCAGTCTTCGTGTACTATGGACTCTAGAATTGGGAGCACACCTCCGGTGTTGGGGTGAAAGGATCCCCGACCCCTCTCCGCCCCCGTGGTGATTCAAGCTCCTATGTGGTGTGTCCACAGGGTCGAGGCGGTTGTGGGAGGGGCAGGTGGACAGAGGCTGGACGTAGGATCTAGCAAGTCCAGGAATTGGAAGATGATTCTCACCAGGCGCCCTCTCGGAGCTGAACAGGTGGTTATTAAGGAGTAACTGTTAGAGGAAGGGCTTGTTACCCAGCTGGAGCAATTGCAGCTGCACAGGGCCCCTCATCTAAAGGCACGAGCGATCCTGAGGGTGAGGGAGGGCTGCTTTGGCATGTTCTGGGTATAGGAGCTTTAGGACCCAGTGGGTTGACTGAGGTTTAGTGGGACTTATATTGCTGTTGGACTTCTCCCCCTACCTGCTTCTGATTCCTCCAGTGTTAATCAGTAATACCGGATAGGTCAGTCTCAGGATCTACTTCTGGAGACTCCAAACCGTGACTGTTCTTCAAGTTAGGAGGATAGAGTATATTTTCCTTAAAAGATGATAGCTTGATATTGTTTTTAAAAAGTATTTTTTTTAAAAAGTATTGTTTTTAAAAAGTATTAAAAAAAAGTATTTAAATAATGGGATGGCATTAAGGCGGGCCTGACAGGGAGGTGGGTGTTGAAGGTCTGGAAAAATGGGAATTTGATTCTTGGTGCAGCTACTGGCCAACCCCAGAGAACTTGGGAAAGTCTTAATTTCTTGTTCCTACTTCAAATGGGAGCCCATCTCTGTTAGTTCTGTACTCCTTTCAAGCGGCTTGAAGCTGGAATGAGACAAGGCCATGGAGGACTGTACTCTATGAAGGCCCCATATGCTTATATAAGGTGACAGTGCTAGGAACTGTCCCAACAGGGATTGAATGATTCCTCCCAACCCAAAGAGCAGATCTAAGACAATCTGGAGATCAATTCTTTAGATAGATAGATAGATAGATAGATAGATAGATAGATAGATAGGATAAAATTTATTTTATTTTTTTTTATTAAATAAAATATATTTTAATATATATTATATATGATAAAATTTTTACATGATATCAAATATGCATCTGTTGATGTCTTTTCCCAATCTTTGTTATTCCCTAAATTATATGTTTCTGCTGTTAATGTAAATGGTTAGGAATTTTAAAAGACTGCTCTTGATATTTCATATTATTGCACAAATTATTCAAGGTCATATTCCCTGTCCATCTTTAAGAAAGGATCAATTTCTATAGGGACATTTTGATGGTCATTTTTGAAAGTCCTTCCTGTTTATTTTGTTATTATTCCCAAGGCTGCCATAAGGCCATTGTTTTTTGTTTCATTAAAGTAACATGATTTGCAATACTCTAGATGAGTGAAAAGTGTAGGATCACACCTCTTCAGATGTATATTACTGCACCACACCCAACACCCAGTGGTCCTCCTCCATAGTTCACTGTGCTCCCTCCACATTTTGCTCTCCACCTTCCTCTCCTCCTCTGGTATCCTCAATTTTATAGTCAGATATCTAGAGTTGTTGTTTTTTTTCCTCTGTCCTTTGTTTTACTTATCTAGACTCCACATAGAGTGAAACCATCTGATATTCTGACTTATTTTGCTTAGCATAACCCCTCTAGTTCCACCTGTGTTGTTGCAAATAGCAAGATTTCATCATTTTTATGGCTGAACAGTATTCCACTATGTAGATGCATCACATTTTTGTAATCTGCTCCTCTGTCTGTGGACACTTAGGGTGTTTCCATAATTTGCCTATTGTACATAGTGCTGCAATGGACATAGGAGTGTACATACTCCTTCAACTTAGTGTTTGTACATTTCTCACATAGATACCTAGGAGTGAAATTGCTGGATAATATTTTTAATATTTAATAGATCTATTTTTAACATTTAGAGGCCTCCATTACTGTTTTCCATAGGGACTGGACCAGTCTACATTCTCACCAACAGCATGGCAAACCTTTAATTTTAGAAAAAAAAGAGAAAACTCAAATTACTAAAATAAAAAATGAGAGTGGGAGCATCACTGCTGATTCTATAGAAATAAGACTCATAAGACAGTACTACAAACAACTGTAAACCAAAAAAAATTGGATAACCTAGATGAAATAGACAAATACCTAAAAACACAGGACCTACCAAAGTTAAATCATGAAAAAATAGAAAGTTTGGATAGACCAATAATGAGTAAGGAGATTTAGTTGGGTAATCAAAAATCTTGTGACAAAGAAAAAACTCTGGCTGTTATGGCTTCACACGTAAATTCTACCAACCCTTCTCAATTTTATCAAAAGTATTAAAGAGGAATAAATACTTTTATTTTATTTTTTTAAGATTTATTTATTTATGCATACAAAAGCTGGGGTACAGGCCAGAGATGGGGGGGGGGGTGAGAGGATCCACCACAGACAGAGCAGGGAACAGAACGGGCAGACTTACTGAAATACACTGCTGAGGGGAGCAGCGGGCGAGTCAGGAGAGGTCTGCTGCACCCTGTGGGTTGCTCCCTGGCCGGCCTGGTATTGAACTCGAGCTGCAGAAGCTGCGGATTGCTTCATAGTGTGCTGCTTAACCCCTTGCGCCACCAGGGAGGCCCAGGAATACTTTTAAACTCACACTATAAGTCAAAAGCACTACAAGAAGAGAAAACTAAAGACCATCATTCCTTATGCACATTGAAGCAAAAATCCTCAACAAAATATCACAAACTGAACTCAACAGTATATTAAAAGGATTACATGCCATGATCAAGTAGGATTTATTATTGGAATGCAAGGATAGTTCAACGTGTGATTAATCACTGATTAACAAACTGAAAGAAAAAAACCCCATATGATCATCTCAATTAATGTGGAAAAAGCACTTGATAAAATTCAATACCCTATCATCATAAAACCATTCGAAAAGTTAGGCATAGGAGGAAATTACCTTAACATAATAACCAGGTTTCAAAGTCACTAATTTTCTCTATTGTTTTCCTGTTTCCTATGGCACTTATATCTATTGCAATCTTTATTATTTCTCTCCTTACTTTTGGGCCTCACTTCCTTTTTTAGTTCCTTAAGTTGTAAAATTTGCTTGTTGATTTGAGATTGTGCATATTCTATAGCTATTTTTTGTTGTTACCATGGGTATTATATTTAACATCTAAAAGCTGTAAAATTCTCATTTTAATCTGTACTAGCTTAACTTAAATAATATACAGAATTTCTGCTCCTTTATAGCTCTGTCCCCACCTGTTTCTGTTGCTGGTATTACAAAATTATATCTTTATGAAATGTGCGCCCAAAAACAAAAAGCAATAACTTTCTTCAATGCATTAGTCTCTTAAATATGTAAGAAAAAATTTTAGGAATTACAAACTAGTTACAATAATACTAGCTTTTAGACTAATACTTGTTTTCTTTTAATGTATTAGTCCTTAAATCCTGTAGAAATAAAAAAAAGTTACAAAACAGTGATACAATAATATAAGCTTTTATAATTTTCCATTTATTTCCCTTTAGTGATATCATTAATTCATCATACAACTTCAAATTACTGTCTAGTATCCTTATACTTCACTGCAGTAATCCCTTTGAGCATTTCTTGCAGGGCAGAACTAGTAGTAATGAACTACCTCACTTTTTATCTGGGAATGTCTTAATATCTCCCTTATTTTTGAAGGATATTTTTTCCAGTTATATAATTGTTGGTTAACAGTTTTTGTTTTGTTTTTCCTTTGTTCTGGTTTTGGTTTTTTTTGTTTTTGTTTTATTTTTTGCTTTTTAGACCTATCAGCCCCACTGCTTGCTGGTTTCCAAAGTTCCTGATGAGAAATGTGCTAGCAATCTTTTTTTTTTTTTTTAAAGATTTATTTACTTATTTATACAAGCACCGGGTACAGTCAGAAGCGAGGGAGGGTGAGAGAATTCACCAGAGCCAGAGCGGGGAGCAGAGCAGGCAGAAGGACCGAAGTACACTGCTGAGGGGAGCAGCGGGCGGCAGAAGAGGTCTGCGCGCCATGTGGGACCCTCCTCCGGTGGCCGGGGAGCAGCCGGGGATCCAACCAGCGCTGCAGAGGTTGCGGGCAGCTTCGCAACCCAGCGCTCAACCGCTGTGCCACCGGGGAGGCCCGCTAGCAATCT